CGAGAGAGAGGAGAGAGGGAGAGGGAGTGAGGGAGGGGGACAGAGAAAGGGGGGAAGAGAGGGGAGTGAGAGGGATTGATTGATGGATTGATTGGTTTTATTAGCTTCAGTAGTTACATTAAATATAATGATAATACTTAATACTTACAATAACACTTAATTTTCTACACATAAATTCTTATCTAATAATACTTTTGAATTTTATTACCCCTCTCTACTCTTAATAGTATCCTTTTAAAGCTCTGCAGTTTGTTTTCTTGTTTTATTTCTTTTGGTAAATTATTGTACATTTAAGACCCATCACATACAACAGTATTTTCTATTCCTTTCTAGTTTTACAACTTGAAATGAGGTCCACTACATATATATATTGAGGCATACAATGGCGTTTTTTCGTTATGCAACCAGAAGCAATCACGGCTATCTTCGTCTTTTGATCTCTGAAGACGAAGATAGCTGTTGTAGTTTCTGGTTAGATAACGAAAAAGCATCCCAACTTTCGCGTGGAAAATCGTGCGCCCATAATCGATCTACCTCATTCCTCCCCCTCCGCCCTCCTCTTTAGAGTCATTAATGCAAAGTGGGGAAATAATCATTGATTTTTATTGTTAGTGACTTTTTAACGAAGCAGAAGTGCCGACAAAAACCTATTAAAGATTACTCAGAATCATGACATTGACAACGTCGGTAGTTGCCCCCTTTTCTTGTTTTATGTTTAATTTATTATTAAAAAATTAAATTAAATTTACCTATGTTTAAATTTATCTATGTTTATTATAATAACGGTGATAATCGATGTTGTAATAATTATATAGGAAAAGTCAAGAAATGTACTTCAAAATTTTGTAAACTGTACTACTTTTCATGGCTAAATTTTATTTTCTAGCCAAGATGGGTACAATAAATAATATTAATTTTAATTTAAACGTTCAAGAACACAAATCGAATGAGCAGAAAAGAAACTTCACTACTTTTAACTGAAAAATTTAATCAATACAATAATGTTTACATCTTAGTGAATAATTACTGTTTCGCTCTCTCTCTCTCTCTCTCTCTTTCTTCTCTCCCTCTTTTTATTGACTTCTAAACAGTTTTTCCGAATATCTTTCTTGACATAATCGCTATTTTGTGTTCAGTAATAAATCGCGACTCTGTCTGGATACAATGGCACTTCGAAAAAGATCAGACAATTGGATTTGGAAACATGTTCTTAAATTAGACGATTCTATTATACAATGCAATATAGATAATTGTAAGAAAACTTATACAATGATTAACAAAGGTGAATATAGAGTGATAATGACGATGAAAGGACATTTATATCATGAGCATGGAAAATACGATGAACAAGATCGGTTAAAATGGTTAAACGACAATGACTTGATATGGCGATATTTCGACAAAGCGAACTTATACACAGCAAATTGTAATTTTTGTGGTAGTTTATTTCGTCAATCATATGTACCACTTATAAAGTCGCATCTGCAAAATCATCGTCAAGAAATAAAAGTTGGTGTACAAAAAGAAATTGCGGATAAGTCTTTATCACAATATTATATAATCGATATGGAAGAATTTATTGCACGGTGCAAACGTTGCAATGATAAAATGGATATATTTTACGGAACAGATGCTTTAACACATCATAATTGTTTAAAAAAGAATCAATGTTTAAGGTCTGGGCAAAAACCTGAAGATAATAATGTGAGTAGAATAACACAACAGTCTACAGCCACTGAAAATGCAAATACATCCTATCATGATGATATAAATAGTCAGCCTGAAAATCGAGAAAATCAACAAAGGTAACTATTAATGTTTCACTTTTCTTAAGTTATTAATATATTATGTACATTTTAATATACATTAAAAATTTAGTATATTACTTAATTCAATCTATTTACCTCAACGTTTATTACAATAACGGCGATGTTGCAGTAGCCTATAGTAAAAAATCAAGAAACATTTCCAAATATAAGCTTGTACCAATTTTTGATGTTAAATTTTATTTTCAAATAAAAATATGTCAAATATATAATATTAATCTTAATCTTGGCAACAAAAGATAGGAATAAGTAGGAATTAATAACATGATTTTTACAAAACTGAGAAAGATTATTCAATCAATAATCTTTAGATATTAGTAAAAAATTATATACGTTTTACTCTCTCTTCTATCATCAACCTTTCCTAAACAATGTCTCTGAACATTTTCCTTGACTTCATCGGTATTTCATATTTAGTGACACATCGCGACACTGTGTGGATGTAATGGCAGCTCGAGAAAGATCAAACAATTGGGTGTGGAAACATTTATTTAAATTAGACGATTCTACTGTACAGTGCAATATAGATAATTGTAATAAAACTTATAATACGACTTTTGATAGAAGTAAAGATAGAATGATAGTAATAATAAAAGGACATTTATACCATGAGCATGGAAAATACGATGAAGAAGATCGGTTAAAATGGGAAAACAACAATGATTTAATATGGCGATATTTCGACAAAGAAGGTTTATACAAAGAAAAATGTAAATTTTGTTACGATTCACTTTCCGTATCATATACACCATCCTTAAGGGATCATCTGCGACAATACCATCGTAAAAAAATAAGAGCTGATGTACGAAAAGAAATTGCAGATAAGTCTCTATCGCAATATTTCGAAATTCATGAGGAAGAATTTAGTGCATGGTGCAAACGTTGCAATCATAAAATGGACATATTTTATGGAACAAATGCCTTAACACATCACATTTGTTTAAAAAAGAATCAACGTTTAAGGCCTGGACAAAAATCTGAAGATAATAATGTGAACAGAATGACACAACAGTCTACAATCACTGAAAATAGAAATACAAGCTCCCATCATGATGATATAAATAGTCAGCCTGGAAATCGAGAAAACCAACCAAGGTAACTGTTAACGTTTCACGTTTCTTAAATTATTAATATATTATGTACATTTTAATACACATTAAAAATTTAGTATATTACTTAATTCAATCTATTTATCTCAACGTTTACAATAATGGCGATGTATAGTAGCCTACAGTAAAAAATCAAGAAACATTTCCAAATATAAGCTTGTATCAATTTTCGATGTTAAATTTTATTTTCAAATCAAAATATATAATATTAATCTTAATCTGATTGGCAACAAAAGATAGGAATAAGTAGGAATTAATAATATGATTTTTAAAAAACTGAAAGATTATTCAATCAATAATCTTTAGATATTAGTAAAAAATTATATACGTTTTACTCTCTCTTCTATCATCAACCTTTCCTAAACAATATCTCTGAACATTTTCCTTGGCTTGATCGATATTTCATATTTAGTGACACATCGGGACACTGTGTGGATGAAGTAGCAGTTCGAGAAAGCTCAAACAATTGGGTGTGGAAACATTTACTTAAATTAGACGATTCTACTGTACAGTGCAATATAGATAATTGTAATAAAACTTATACGACTTTTGATAGAAATAAAGGTAGACTGACAATGATGATAAAAGGACATTTATACCATGAGCATGAAAAATACGATGAAGAAGATCGGTTAAAATGGGAAAACGACAATGATTTAATATGGCGATATTTCGACAAAGTAGATTTATACAAAGAAAAATGTAAATTTTGTAACATTTTACTTTTCATATCATATACACCATCGTTAAGGCATCATCTGCGACAGTACCATCGTCAAAAAATAAGAGATGATGTATTAAAAGAAATTGCGAAGAAGTCTCTATCGCAATATTTCGAAATTCATGAGAAAGAATTTAGTGCACGATGCAAATATTGCAATGTTGAAAACAACATATTTTACGGAACAGATACCTTAATACATCACATGCAAGAAAATCGATGTGTAACGTATCATAACGAACTTGAAGATAATAACGTGAACAGAATGACACAACAATCTATAACCGATGAAAATACAAGTTCCCATCATGATAATTTAAATAGACAAGCTCCTCGAAATCAAGACCAACAAAGGTAACTGTTATGTAATTAAAATGTTAATGTTTCACTTTTGTTAAGTTATTAATATATTATGTACACTTTAATATACATAAAAAATTTAGTATATTACTTAATTCAATCTATTTACCTTAACGTTTAATACAATAACAGTGATAAACGATATTGCAATAGCCTACAGTAAAAAGTTAAGAAATATTTCCAAATATAAATTTTTACCAATTTTTAATATTAAACTTCATTTTCAAGATGTGTAAAATATATAACCGTTATCTGATTGACAATAGAAATCGAATAAGTAGGAATTAGACAATATGATTCTTAACTGAAAGATTCAATTAATAATCTTTACATATTAGTGAAAAATTATGTTTTACTCTCTCTCCTATTATCAATTTTTCCTAAACAACTTCTCTAAATATTTTCCTTGGCTTGATTGGTATTTCATATTTAGTGACACATCGCGATGTTGTACGGATGTAATGGCAGCTCTAGAAGAATCAAACAATTGGGTGTGGAATCATGTTCTTAAATTAGACAATTTTACTGTACAGTGCAATATAAATGGTTGTGATCAAACTTATAGAAACCAAACTAATAGAAAGCTTGCAAGTAGAATGATAACAATGATAAAGGAACATTTATACCATAAGCACGAAATATGGAATGAAGAAGATCGTTTAAAATGGGTAAACAACAATGACTTGATATGGCGATACTTTGACAAAGTAGACTTATACAAAGAAAAATGTAAATTTTGTAACATTTCACTTTATCAAGCACATATACCATTTATAAAAAAGCATCTGCAAAGACATCGTCAAGAAATAATAACTATTGTACGAAAAGAAATTGCGGATAAGTCTCTATCGCAAGATTTTGAAATAGATGAAAAAGAATTTAGCGCATTGTGTAAATATTGCAATTTTAAAAAGAACATATTTTACGGAACAGATGTCTTAACACACATTTGTAAAAAAAAAAATCAATGTTTAATGCCTCGACAAGAACCTGAAGATAATAATGTGAACAGAATGACACAACCAAGGACACAACAGTCTATAGCCACTGAAAATGCAATTACAAGTTCCCATCATGATGATATAAATAGGCAAGCTTCTCGAAATCAAGACCAACAAAGGTAACTGTTATGTAATAAAAATATTAATATTTTTTTTTAAGTTATAAATACATAATGTATACTTTAAGTACATTACAAATTAGTATATTATTTAATTTACATTATTGTTTCACAATCGATAAAATACTTAATTGTAAGTTGCAATAATTGCAGCAATTACACTATATTAATTAGCGTATTTTATAGCAACACAGGAATAAATGACTTAACATCTCATTGTCAATATCATATAAATGAAAATTCAAGGTATGAAGAAGGAGTTGCAGATAACAGCGAGTATAGAATAATGCAACAAGACGTAACAGCAGAAAATATAGCTACGTCTTATCATCGTGAAAGAACATATTGGCATGATCTCGAAAATCAAGAAGGTCAACAGAGGTAAATGATACTAACATTAGTATATTTTATTCTTCTAGAAGGATTAGTATATTCTATTATAAACAACAGAATTTGAACATTTAACGATTAACGAGTTTATAATTTTGAGTCAAACATTTAATAAATGTGATTTGAATGTTGTATTTATGACCAAATTAAACAATAATAACTAATGAATCATATATCAAGTTCTGAAGGAATTAACATAGATAACACGGTACAATTCCTTGATTACAATCATGGAAGTACATATTGCTACGTTCTTGGAAATCAAGATGGTCCACAAAGGTAAATGATATTAATATCAATATATTTTATCCTTCTTGAAATATTAATATATTCAATTATATATAATTAACGTAAATATATTGAACAATTAACATTTAAATATATAGACTTCATAAATTTTTTTTTAAACATTTAATAAATATAGTTTCAATGTTATATTTATATCCAATTTAAGTAATATTTACTAATGAATATGTATCAAGTTCTGAAGAAAATAAGACGGATAACATAGTATTCCTTGATGTTTCGGATGCAAGTTCTCATTATGACGGTACAAACTGGCAAGGTCTTGGATATCAAATAGATCAAGAGAGGTACGTGCTACTAATTTAATGTCAAATGTTTCTAATATCAAAATTCGTGACTCAAAGTTTTATGATAAAAAGATTAATTAACTGTCAATGTCTGTACGAATGGATATTCAAAATTTCAAAAAAGAACTAATGTTAAAATAATATAATGTATATAGAATGATGCATCAGTCCGTAGCAGCAGTAAAGATGGCTACAAGTTATCATGATGAAAGTACATATTGGTATGTTCTTGGAAATCAAGATGATTTCAATATTATATTTATATCCAATTTAAGTAATATTAACTAATGAATATATATCAAGTTCTGAAGAAAAGAACACGAATAACATAGTATTCATTGCTCATGATGTTTCGGATGTAAGTTCTCATTATGACGGTACAAAAAATTGGCAAGGTCTTGGATATCAAACAAATCAACAGAGGTACGTAAATCGCAACAAAGTTAAATAATACTAATATCGATATATTTTATTCTTTTTGAAATATCAATATATTCTATTATATAATTAACGCAAATAACTTGAACAATTAACATTTAAATATATAGACTTTATAAATTTGAGTCAAACATTTAATAAATATAATTTCAATGTTATATTTATATTTAATTTAAATAATATTTACTAATGAATATGTATCAAGTTCTGAAGAAAATAACACGAATAACATAATATTCCTTGGTCATGATGTTTTGGATGTAAGTTCTAATAATGATGGTACAAACTGGCAAGGTCTTGGATATCAAATAAAGCAACAGAGGTATGTAAATCAATAAAGGTAAATAATACTAATATTGATATATTTTATTCTTCTTGAAATATCAGTATATTCTATTATATATAATTAATACAAATATATTGAACAATTAACATTTAAATAGACTTAATAAATTTGAGTCAATTATTTAATAAATATAATTTCAATGTTATATTTATATCTAATTTAAGTAATATTTACTAATGAATATATCAAGTTCTGAAGAAAATAACACGAATAACATAGTATTCCTTGATCATGATGTTTCGGATGTAAATTCTCATAATGACGGTACAAATTGGCAAGGTCTTGGATATCAAATAGATCAACAGAGGTACGTAAATCAACAAAGTTAAATAATACTAATATCGGTATATTCTTCTTGAAATATTAGTATATTCTATTATATATAATAAACGCAAATCTATTGAACAATTAACATTTAAATATATAGATTTTATAAATTTGAGTCAAACATTTAATAAATATAATTTTAATGTTATATTTATATTCATTTTAAGTAATATATTTACTAATGAATCTATATATCAAGTTTTGAAGAAAATAACACGAATAACATAGTATTCCTTGATCATGATGTTTCGGATGTAAATTCTCATAATGACGGTACAAACTGGCAAAGTCTTGGATATCAAATAGATCAACAGAGGTACGTAAATCAATAAAGTGAAATAATTCTAATATTGATATATTCTTCTTGAAATCAGTATATTCTATTATATATAATTAACGTAAATATATTGAACAATTAACAGTTAAATATATAGACTTCATAAATTTGAGTCAAACATTTAATAAATATAATTTTAATGTTATATTTATATCCAACTTAAATAATATTTACTAATGAATATATATCAAGTTTTGAAGGAAATAACACGAATAGCATAGTATTCTTTGCTCATGATATTTCGGATGTAAGTTCTCCTCCTAATGGTACGAACTGGCAAACTCTTGAATATCAAGAAGATCAACAGAGGTATGTTATTATTTCAATATGTCAAGTGTTACTGATACCAGTGATATCAAAATTTCATGATTCAAAGTTCTATAATAAGAAAGCTCTCGAAATATTAAGTAGCTGTCATTCTCATGTTGCGAATAGCTATTCGAGATTTCAAAAAGGGACTAACATTAATAATGTATACAGAATGATGCATCAATTCGGGGCAGCAGGAAATGTGACTACAAATTTTCATAATGACAGTACAAACTGGCAAGCTGTTGGATATCTAGTAGATCAGCAGAGGTATGTGTTATTTCAATATGTTAAGTATTACTGATATCAGCGATATCGAATTCGCGACTCAAAGTTCTATACTGATGAAGCTCTCGACAGATTAAGTATCTATCAATGTTATATTACGAATGGCTATTTAAGATTTCAAGAAAGAACTAATGTTAGTAACGTTCATAGAATGATGCATCAATTCGTGACAGCAGAAAATGTAGCTATAAGTTCTGATAATGACGGTATAACTTTGCAAGCTTCTGGAAATCAAGAAAATCAAGAAAATCAAACCTCATTAATGTAATGATGTCATTTTCATATTATCACTTTTTGTGTTCTGCTTGTATAAATATAAATTTAGAAAATAACAATTTTAGAAATAATCTGTATTTATTTTTAGAAGATTTAAATTCTACATTATTACATTTTCAAAAATTTACAAAAAATAGTAATAAAATTTTTAAAAAAAGGAAAATTTACGGCAACTGCATAAAAAAAGATGTTGAATATATTCTTCTTAATCAAAAATGGATATGAAATAAATGTAATTAGAATAAAAGTATTTCACGCAAGACACAAATAAGATAGACTAAAAGTAATTAAAACTGTCAACTAGATTATAGTAAAGAAAAAACTTGACTGAGGTCCCAGATTCAAACATTAGCCGATAAGTGAAAAAGATTAAAATATAATTAAAAATTAGAAATTAATTAATAAAATTAGTTGTCTAAAGTTTTTAAGCATTTTTTGTTGATAAAAAAAATAAATTTAAAAAAAGATTCTGTATTGTTATTTTTTCTAATTTTGTTTAAATAATTTTAACGTGAAAGAAATGTTTTTTTAAACGTTAAATAAATGTTTCTTAAACATTAGACAAATGTTTATTCAGACATTACATTAAACGTTTTTTTAATCAAAAAAGGAATTTAACCCATTATTTTTAAAAATGTTTTTAAAAATGTTTTTTAAATATTTTTGAAAACATTTTTAAAAACATTGTCTGCTGATTGGGTTAAAAAATAAAAGATTAAATGTGTCTATATAATATAAAATACTGTTAATATATTGTTATACAAGTTATAATTACTTGAGATCATCGATATTAGATAACAGAAAATTGATATTTATAACGTTTTCTAATTATCCGATATTCTTGATAGAAATCTCTCTGGTAGTAATTTATATTCCTCTATTGATAAAGAGTTAAATATATTATTATGTTTGTTGCTATTTTATTTAGATGGCGCTGAAAAATTTTATTACGTACGTTATCTCCGTAAGAGCTATTTTTATCATATGCATTCAATAAAGCTTAAATTAGTATCGCTCGGAATATTTTATGACGATCTTTAAATAGATTAGTAGTGTTTCACAATCCTTGCCAAACGATTTTTTTTAACCGAGTTGAATCTATCAAACGCCCGTCGAATAATAATGCAAAACTAAAAAATGTTTAAAAATATAAATTTAATTAACTTAATTTAATATATTTTATTCGCTTCATTTCCAGATGCAACATATATTTAATATGATTTAAAGTGTGATATTATTTATCGTAGCAATCTTAAAATTCTTTTTGATCTAACGATAAAAAAACCGAACTAACTTTAATAAATATTGTATAGTGTGTCTTGTATACATAGAATTTAGGCGTCTATTCTTAACGATAGTGTCGTTGCAATGTCGTTAAAAATGATAGAATAGGAGCCTTTTAGTTCTATTTTCATCGAGACTAATCGATATATCAAAATAAAAACATTGGAAAAGCAAAACGGACATTTTGGAGGAATAACGATAATTTTTTTAATGCGCTAGAACGATGGTCACGTGTATTCTAAAAAAAAGCGCGAATAATCGCGGACAATCGCGAACGATGCATATGATGCAACCAACGCTGCATTTCGTTATTCATTGCAAGTATTGAAAATCTATATAGTATACGTAACGTAACGTAAACTACAGTGATCTGTTTGCGTTGCTTAAAATTATAGAGAGTTGGGCAAAACTGTAATTCAATTAACAATTACAAATTGCAATGTAATTCTTAATTCAATTAGTAATTATATTTCGTAATTATTAATTGAATTACTTTGCTTAAAATTATTACAAATTTTTACACCTAAAATGAAATAAATATTGGATTAAGGAAAAGGTCCCTTTACAAGTTGGTAAAAAAACGTTTTAAAGCTTGAAATCTCTACCTTCGAATGATTGCTATATTTTTTGAATTTATATGAGTTTTGTAATTTTTACATATAGAAAACTACAAGCCAAGAAAAATTTTCTTTTTACTTCATAGATCTGTAGTGTGCTAACAAAAATTAAGCAAATTTTCGACTATCTATCGTAAAAGTTTGAAGTTTTTCCTACAAAATTGTTTTTTAAAAATGTTCCCACGATTTTTCATTCCTAAATCATGTACTCGTGGGTTAAGTAAAAAGGAATATTTTGATTTTATTGCTCGTAACTCCATTAAAAATCGTATTGCAATTAAAAATACAGATTGTTAAAGCTGAAACGTTACTCTATTAAATGATGTAATTGCCAATTTTTTAAAACTAGAATATATGGGTTGATAAGTATTTTTACCAACTTGTAAAGAGACTTTTTCCCTAACCCAATATATGGGTGTCCCATAAGTTTTTGCCAATCGTTTTTATGTAAATAGAGCGGACTAAATTGTCCGTATTTTGCGATTTTCGGAATAGTTAACAAGATATTAATTACTAAAAATTGCGAAATATTGGTCTTGAATAATTTTTTATTCAAATATTATCAACTTTATAGAAAAGCTGCAAGAGATAAAAATCATTAATTTTTTTTTTATAAAGTTCTGAGAAATTTTTCAGAATTTTTTAATACCGTATTTTCTCATGTTAGTAAAAATAAGAAAATGCAGTACTAAAAAGTTGATAAAAAATTTCGAAAAAATTCTTAGAGTTCTATGAGAAGAAAATAAATAATTTTTGTCTCTTGCAGTTTTTCTATAAAGTTGATAATATTTAAGTAAAAAATTATTCAAGACCAATATTTGGTAATTTTTAGTAATTAATATCTTGTTAACTATTGCGAAAATTGTAAAATGGTAAAGAACTTTTCGACTCAGTTTAGTCCACTCTATCTACACAAAAGCGATTGGCAAAAACTTATAGGACATCCTGTATTTAGGTATTGAAGAGAGATAAAGCGCAGATATTAAGTGCAAAAAATACAAAAGTTGCAACGCAAACAGATTTTAGATTTTTAGTATTCGCAATAAATAACAGAATGCAGTCCAAGTATATTTTGCAAAAATATAAATTTTTATTTCATCCATAAGCCGCAATATCTCGTCATGACGAAACGCGATTCGCACGAAGCTAATTTTAGTCGTGAATCTTCTTAGCGACACTTTCAGTTCTTAGCGATCTTCCTACGTTCTCTTTTTTTCTATCTCTTTCCCTCGCGTAACGCGCGTGCGCTAATGGAAGCTTTTCGAATGATCTCGAAGACTCGCGCCGTGATTGGTCATCCGCAGAAGCTTCTCGAAGCAGGCGAATCAAGTATTAAAAGCACGTTACGCGGCTCGCGACGTCAGTTTCACAACAAACGTGACGGAGTGTATATGTAAGTGCGATAAGTGGCACGAAGTGTCAACTTGCAAATCAAATCATCGAAGTCTCAAAAACGCTATTGTTAGGTGAGTTGAAAATGTTATTTAATTGTGAGGTATATAAATTGTACGTCGATTGTTTCTCAAAAGTTTATTGCATTAGTAATTTCTACTTTATTAAAGAAACAGAAATTATAGAAACAGAATATACATTTTTGGACAGTTTTCTCCAATTTTGTTTCTTATCTGTAAAAATGTAAATTCGCAATTTTGTTACGCGCAAAAGCGAAATTGTGTGACTCGGATGCAATTAATAATTGTGGAAAAAAGAAAATTGCCTCCGAGTGACGACTTTTAATTGGCCGATATTCATATAATCGGTTTTTATTTCAAGGGCATTTTAAGTAATTTCTTGAGATGCTAATACGGCTTTGTAATTAACTTATGACATTTTAAGGCTGTACTTAAAACGATCTTAAATATAAGATCAGACTATTACACGAATACCGGTCGCGATATCCGAGATGTCGTGACTTCCAGAAAAAATTGTGACGCAATAACTAAGTACCAATAAAGAATAAATTACCACAGAAGAGTTTTAAGTTCACTTTATCTTCACTTTATTTTCTTCATTACGAAACACGCCGCGCAACATGTATTTTCGCCAAAGCGTTTTGGCAATCAATATTAAAGAAATTCGATAGGCGTAATATAATACAATATATAT